AGTTCGGCAGCTTGAACCACTTGTTTGATCGTTGTTGCACATCTGATTCAGAGAAGTGGCATCCGACTGAAAAACAGGACTAAGAGGATGATGGTCGGAAGTAACAATGATGAAAAAGGTCCATTAAGTCGCAACAATTCAAAAGGCTGGAAGGATGCCCAGAAAAGTCGTTACGAGGGTGACGAAGTTCGAGGGAATTTAGGTAGCCTGGCAATGGAACGTCGAAATGTCTCGGCAAGAATTGGACATCAACTCAGCCTCACCGGAAAAGCTACACAACAGCCCAAGGCCAAACATGATGGGCTGGGCGAGGACGCATCAGCTAATCGTCGATGTAGCGACATTAAGCGAAGAAACACCAACTACTAATGCGAGAAGCCGCCGGTGGCATTGCCATGAAGGAGCACATGGTCCCGACTTATGCGGTAGATAATTAGTATGCCTTGATGGACGTATTCCATTGCCACTTAGCAAAGTCTGAAGACCAGGCTCAGTGACTCGGTTTAACAATTCGCCGGGTCTCTATTGGAATCCAACCGGCACGTCACAATGCCTCCTCGGGCCTCCCCCAATACGGCGGGCCAACTCTATGTTCAACTTTCCTCAGCCCAGTTTTGGAAAGGTGGCCAGCCTTTTCATAAACTGTCATTGCTACCGGACACCTGGTTACCTTAAACCATCACTTAAAATATGCGCTAAATCGTTTAGTTTTCGGCTAGCCTGTTAGGGACGTACCCGAGGGAGCCAAGGGGACCATGTCCCTCAGCCTTTACCAAAGAAATTTACACTAGATGCCCGTCGATTTCGCACGAATTTGGTCCAAATTCATATGGTTTTAAAGATAATTTGGCAGCCTCACATGCATGGCAGGTGCTGGTGGATTTCGCGTCAACCTCAGCCGTTAACATAAACTGTGTGCTCCAGTGTCTGAGGTCTGGAACTTCACTGCCGCGCATCACCGCACATGCCAAATATTAGTGTACTGCACCGATAGCAATGCCACCAGCAATGTGTACCACTCTGCTGTGGAGCAGCAGCTCTGAGCATAGTCTTGTGTCCGCGCGCAGTGCTCGATTTGTGCCCTGCCCAAACCTGCCCACCCACTCCATGCTTCCATTCCGTTGATACTGTCCACAGCGGTTTAGTTTGTCCGCCCCAGCCGGACCAGCCGGACCGTTTTCAAAGACGCGCTGTCGTTGGCCGGACCCTGTGGCCTGAGGTGTTGGGTCGATCCTCACACAGGTCGATCTTTGGACGGGTCGGTCTTCGCACGGGGGCCGACTGCAGCGCTAGCCAGCCGCCGGGCCTTGACCCCCCCCCCCCCCCCACCGTCGCATTCCGGGCGATCCTGTCAGTGGTTCTCAACTAGACATAGACGGTGGCGCCGTTATGTCATTTATCCCGACCGCCTATACACCTGACTATAGTCATATATAACTCTGCGTGGTAGGATAGTACCTAACGGTTATCAGTCATGGCAAACACGCTCAACGCGAATTCTCAACGAGTTGAGAAAACATTCACCGCAACACACAGCATGCCACCGCTAAACTTAAGTGCAGCAACTAGCAGTGCAAAGCTATAGCCGAGGCACAGTATAGTAAGCTGAGACAGGTCCCAGTCACGACCGATGTCCCATCGATATCTTGTTACGCCATTACACCACGTCACTGGCCATTGGCTAAAACTTTTGCTGAGGAGAATTGTCAAATGATCCGTCGTCAAAAGCCATGGTCAAAGCCAAACAACCGAGAGTAACTAACGCAAACAAAAAATGCGCGATTAAAAACCTCGCGCCTGTGTAATATCATCATTGTGCAGACAAAAAGTCAAATCTAAAAAGTCGAACGGCAAAAAGCCGACAAGGATAACATATGGAGACATACGAACTAGTGGGAACCAGACAACCAGAGCCCGGTACATGTGAAATGTCAATGGGAACCAGGGACTCTGTTGTGATGTTCGTGAAGAAACTAGTAGTAGCCAGGAACCCATAATCGTAAGAACCATTTACCCATAACCCATTCGCAAAAGAACTAGTGAGGACTAGGAGCCAGATTACAAACACAAGGAAGCGTTTGTTTTGCACCAAGCCAAACGAAAAAACGGGATTCGCGGCAGACGCCGCCGCTATGTGCCACCCTCTGCCATGGGCGCCTGTGTTGCTCACGATAGTCCCAGAAAAAGGCCAAAGGGACTATACATGGGCGTAGATAGAGGATAGTAGGATCCCCAAAGCAGGTCCACCATCTGATAGCGTGGTGGACCTGCGTGGCGTGGTCCACCCCGAAGGGCGTGTTTCGTATGGTTCAGTCGTGATGACTCGAAGGCTGGCTTCCTGCCAGAAGCGTTTGCCGGGCAAGCGTGGAAGGATCCAAATTGGAGGGCCAATGGATGCGAGGTAGTGAGCCACGGGCGCATCCGCGTGCAGTCGGCAACATCAATTTTCATGCCAGGTGTCAAATCATTAAGACTCTCCTGTCAATTTGTCCGTCCCGGTGGCTCAGTTGGTTAGAGCGCCTGCCTTCCGATCCACCCACCCGTGGCTGGGTGGGTTCGAGTCGCTTTAGGGCGCTCGCTATTTGCCCTTGACAGGTATGGCCTGCGGCCGGTGGCAGCGGTCGCGCTAAAGGTCAGTTGACGTCAGAGGGCAGGACGGACCGTGCCGAGCATTGCGGCACGTTAAGCTTTCGCCACTAAATTCTGCCGTTGCCTGGGATTGCGCGATCGGATGGTGGGGGTCAGAGCTCACACAACAAGCACTGCTTAGCGTGAGCGCTGATCCCAGAAATCCATCCATTCAAAGGGTTCGGATCAAATTTATAAAATAAAATAAAATCCTCTTCACTACTTCCTGATTTCTTTGCATTCTAATCGCCCTTTATCAATGTCTAATTTTTGTCTGGGTAATTGTTTTGTAATCTGATTCTTCCAATTTCCATAATTCCGATTCTTCCTTTTCCCCACCAACTCCAAATCCTATTTGACTTTTTGTGCTTCAACATTTCAGGGATATACTCCTATCTGAAATATATCCCTGTCGACCGTATGTCTTCCGACTTTCTGTCTGGCTTATTTTCGATTCGACTTTGATTCTTGCCGACTCTCACCCCTTCCGACTATATAGTTTTAACTTTTCTCTTTCGGCTTTTTCTTTTTAACTGCTGTCCGGGAGCCGGTTTCATAATGACAAAGAAGCTGGCGCAGCTTGAAAGGGAGCTTTAGGGTGCTTGCACTCTTGTCGCACCTTGGACCGAGGCGCAATGGATCAGCCCCGGTGCTACATCCTCCGGGTCACGGCGTTGACCATTGCCCCCTTCCCAGCTCCAAAATCTTAAAAACATGGACCTCGTGATGCTTGATGCATGAGCAGGGTTATGATAGCATTATTCATGCGTTTGCACCTCAAGGGCGTAATTTTCATATTTTGCTCGCCTCTTGGTCTGATGTGCATCGAGCCCGATCTGTCATTCACGAACGTGATTGCAAGGTCATTATTCGAAAACAACATTGGGGGAAAGCGGGAAATGCGAAATACAAAGTACATCTGCCAATTTAGACATTACCAAATTTTTTGACCGCTGACGATACTGAGCATAATGTGTGAATCTTGCGCAGCTTGGACTGCAGTAGAGCAGAGCGGCACGGCAACATCCCCTCTCCATCAATGGCTGATGTTGACCCGGAAGACTTTTCGAACACGGCTTGGCATGGATTACTTCCGAAAGCAGCTTCTAGATTATATGCTCCTCCAAAAACGGCTCTTTGATTACACACGAAGACTACCGAAGGGATATAAGTCAAGCCGTAATGAGCCTCCATGGCAGCCACAACTATGAGCAGTATTCACATTTCGCATAGTGGGTCGGTGGTAGACCATAAGTGGTCATGAAAGGTTAGTTTTCTCTGCAGCAATAAGCATTGTCATTAGTCCGGAAGCATTTTGCATTGTAATGATGTCTAACTAGCGTCCATTTTCACACTGTGCATCATGTTACCCATTATCTTGCTACCAGCCAGCCGCCTCGGCCAGGGGCGGATCCAGAATCTCGCCAAAGCGCGGACCATTGTGTGACCATTGTGTGAATGAAACAACTTTGCACGTCAGAAAACGGCATGCAATTTAGCACCGGGCACCAATTTACGTTTCAGTCACTGCAGTGTGTCCTGGAACTAACATCCAAACCATCTAGTTGTGGTTACAAGAATACAGCAGAGAGGCGAGGCGGCTCTGAAAGCGGAACGTAATGGGGTTTTTGTCCGAGTAAGTGACCTCGCCCTGCCACGCTTTCGCAGGTTCTTGCTAGTATTAGGCACAAAGCCTAACTTATGATTCAAATAAAACATGTTTTCAAATTCACAATGTGCCGGCTAAGTTCCGTCGTCTCGCAGTGAGTACGCGGCCGGACGACGGGCTGGTCATGTGTTGCCATCGGGAACGCATGGCCACGTGGACCAAACGGTAAACAGAACGCAAAGAACGAGGCTATGAGGCACCGGGAGATGGTGCAACGGGCAAGCGTAGTACCTATTACAAACTATGTGTGATCGCTGATCCCCCCCCCCCCCCCAAGAAAAACCGTTGTGGCACCAACTTTTCTCGGTTTCCCTCCTGGGTCGCAGGGGAAGGAGCATAGCGCTATTGACCTCCTTGGGTTGGATTCCGGTCCCTGAACGCTCCATGTCGGCAGAGCTCTCTGGGCATGTCCTCCAAGCCCAAGACCCTCAATTTACTGCGGGCTCTCAAATTTTCTTGAGTCCCTAAGGGTCTTGGTGACCTGCACATGATGGTTCAGGGGACCTGATGTACTCGGGGCCATTTCTGCTCTCAGAAGTCTGAAGAGTTCTTGGGTCACGGATATTTTGGGGCCCAGAGGCCTATGGTATTTTGGGGACCTGCTGCTGTTCTCGGTGCCCTGCTTTTCGATAAAACCACAGCTAATTGCTGTGCGCACATACATTGCTGGGACCAGGCCAGAGCTGTGTGATTTGTTTCGTACCTCCTGGATGTCCTTGTTGGTCCTGGACTCGTGCGGTTCGTTGTACTCCGTGTACTTGAGCAGCACCTTGTCCATGTCGGTGCTGGCGTACTGGAACAGCTTGTTGGCCGAGTTGAACATGATGAGCGAGATCTCGCAGTCGCACAGCACGCTCAGCTCATACGCCTTCTTCATCAGGCCGAACTTTCGCTTGGTGAAGGTCACCTGCCGGACCGTTCGGGGCACCGGGTCAGAGTCACGAGCCGCACCGAGCTGACGGACCGTTCGGGGCACCGGGTCAGAGTCACGAGCCGCACCGAGCTGACAGACCGTTCGGGGCACCGGGTCAGAGTCACGAGCCGCACCGAGCTGACGGACCGTTCGGGGCACCGGGTCAGAGTCACGAGCCGCACCGAGCTGACGGACCGTTCGGGGCACCGGGTCAGAGTCACGAGCCGCACCGAGCTGACGGACCGTTCGGAGCACCGGGTCAGAGTCACGAGCCGCACCGAGCTGCCGGACCGTTCGGAGCACCGGGTCAGAGTCACGAGCCGCACCGAGCTGCCGGACCGTTCGGAGTACCGGGTCAGAGTCACGAGCCGCACCGAGCTGACGACCGTTCGGGAGCACCGGGTCAGAGTCACGAGCCGCACCGAGCTGCCGGACCGTTCGGAGCACCGGGTCAGAGTCACGAGCCGCACCGAGCTGACGGACCGTTCGGGCACCGGGTCAGAGTCACGAGCCGCACCGAGCTGACGGACCGTTCGGGGCACCGGGTCAGAGTCACGAGCCGCACCGAGCTGCCGGACCGTTCGGAGCACCGGGTCAGAGTCACGAGCCGCACCGAGCTGATGGACCGTTCGGGGCACCGGGTCAGAGTCACGAGCCGCACCGAGCTGGGACCGTTCGGGGCACCGGGTCAGAGTCACGAGCCGCACCGAGCTGCCGGACCGTTCGGGGCACCGGGTCAGGGTCACGAGCCGCACCGAGCTGATGGACCGTTCGGGGCGCCGGGTCAGAGTCACGAGCCGCACCGAGCTGATGGACCGTTCGGGGCACCGGGTCACAGTCACGAGCCGCACCGAGCTGGTGGACCGCTCGGGGCACCGGGGCACAGTTACGAGCCGCATCGAGCTGATGGGCCGTTCGAGGCACCGGGCCAGAGTCACGAGCCGCGCCGCTGCTGCCGGACCGTGCGGGACGCCGTGTCAGTGTCACGAGCCGCGCCAAGTCCGTATTTGCTGCCCCTCCCCTGTCCTGTCCTGAGATGGCAGGATGTAAATGCCCAAAGATGGTTTTGGAGTGCTTTGCAAGGTTTTAGAATAGTGGAAAGAATCAGATGAACATGTAAGGCCAGGAAAGCTATGAAACTATAATGCAGCTACAATTGGTTGTGGAACGAGTTATCGAAGTTCCAACATAGTTCGGAAAGCCAGTGTTTGAAAACTATCATGGCGCGGTTACGCGTAGTTGCCGTCTCCATGGAGACAATCACGATTGACTAACGTGTTCAGCTCGGCGCGTACATAGTTTACTGCGGGAATGACATTCCAGACTGCTGAAACTAAGTTCTGCCACTTGCTGGTTTTAACCAGCTTTGAGCGGCCAATACCGGCATAAGCTGACAGAGCTCAGAACAAAACAAGTTTCGTATAATTCGTTACCATGAAACCGTGGCAATCAGGTATAATACACATTTCCTTTCTAAGCAAGCATCTAGCATTAACACGTCCATCGATGACAGTGTGACCGAGGTAGGCGACCTGTTCTCATAAATCGCATCTGATCCTTGCCCTACAACGGTCAATGACTATGCCTAACATGGTGGGGTAGTGTTCTTTGGCAAGGAGCTGAATGTGTGTACTACTACTAGGGAGCTTGGGTTCATAATGCGGTAGTTGATCAATGTAAATCCCTTCATGCAAATAGATACAGCAATCACTGTAAAATCTGGTCGTCCCCATATTTAGGATGCAGTTAGTGCCGAAAACTTGGTGCCAAAAGTTAGCACATGATTATAGAAAGATAGGGTACGGAGATACTCTCTATGTGAAATGCATAGATGTTGTCTTATGGCGGACATGTCGGGCCAGTTAGGTAGTAGCCACAACGTAGTAGCGGGGATTTACTTGGGCTACTACCCAAGTAGCAGGCAGTAGCTACAACGTGCATGCTGCCTGCGGGCCACAGTAGCTTCAGTTATCATCTCACTGACAATGGATCGATCCTTTAGCATGCACTTTTGGACAATGGTGCTTACCTTTAGTCACCATGTGCACTGTAATCAGGTAACCAAAACGTCTAACTATTTTTGCTTGACAGGACGACGACACTTTGCTGAAATGTGCATTTACGCTGGCTGTGTAATGAAATATTATATTATAACCAGCCGTATTTTTCGATGGTTTTTGCCTTCGGTGATTTTCGCCAACCGGTTTTAACCGGTTAACACCGGCTGGCACAAACTGTTTCGGCTGGTTACCTCCTATCCTGATTCGCGAAAGAAAAAGGAGATAAAACTGTATTCACAGACGCGTGGTTCATGTACATCTCTCTGTAAGGAGGCGTTGTGGCCATATCTTCCTGATCAAGTAATCGCATGATGTCACCGTTCACAGGTGGCAAACAATACCGTTGCTGTCTTGTTGAGGGTTTTCGACGGCTTTTACCTCTCGAAGCTTTCTTTTCAGCTAAGCGGGTAAAACCGGCTAGCGAAAAGGAACCTGCACGCCGCCCTCCTATACATCACGTCGGGATTGTCGACGCTGGGTAATGGGCCACGATAAATCTACTGCCCACGCCTATTTGCTGACCTTCACTTTCACACCGGCCATCCCTGAATGTGCCAAGGTACGCCTGCCAGCTCTATTTATTGTAAATCTGTGCACCCCAACGGGATTGCCATATTCAATTTCCTTGCCTCCTTTGAGCTGTCCACCCTGCACGACAGATTGGTTGTACAAGGACCTTAACATATGGGTGTCGGATTTATTACGGTGCATAACCAGACTGCACGAATTTTGCACTGTCAGCAGGTCATGTCTTCGGCGGTATTGCACATAGCAGACCCTGGCACTTTCACGTCAAAGCAATGGAGGCCGGATAGGTAGAAAGTAATTTAACACAGGTAGTTGCCTAAAACGTGCGAAATAAGCTCCTGTGTGTGGCAATGCGGGAGAACGCTTAAACGCCTCACGTACACGTATCATTAACAGCGGAGTAATTTATGCGTCCTTCCTGGCTATATCAGCATTAGTAGCCATGCGTCAAAATCGCCTCGACGCAAGGTGTCATGGAGACAGGAATGTTATCGTCAACGCTACGAGGAAGGCCAGAATCAGTCGCAGATTCAACCTATCTAGGAATGGAGACCCGAATAGTGAAGACAATTCAAAAATAAGAGACCCAATTCGTCGGTAAAGCTGTCGTTTTGCACCCAAAATCCGCAACCATGACAAGCCGATAAATGTTCGAACAGGAACTGCCCGCCTGCCTTGCATTTCTCTGCCCACTTTTGTTTCTGCATTGAAACCCATCCATGCGCCTTGCATGCAATTCATCAGGAGAACCGGTTCCGGTTTATGTCGGGGTCGCAGACTCTCATGACACACAAGACTACAGGCTGGCTGGGTTTGTCACCGACCCGACAAACACACCAGCAAAAGTCAAAATGTATGGGACGTCATGTCAGATTCCGGCCAGACCTCGCGAATACACAGATGGAGTGAGGGGAGTCATCATAAACAGGGTTTGCTCGAAGTCAAGAGGGATTGCCACGTCTGAGATGACGACAGCCAGATCTGCAGCGTGGTGGGTGTGTAGCCGGCCTCTTGTGTCGCACGGGGACTGGACGTGGTTTCTGTACCCCAAGGCCCGCTCGCACCAAACAAGTCACAGAAGCATAGCCGCTCCCGCAGGCTGGGAATTCGATGGCCCTATGTACGTGGTGTTCAATCGACAGCACGAATGATGGTGTTTCGCACGCTTCTTGGCACGTTTGCAATTTCAAACAACCAACGTACCCTGATAAGTGAAAGCATCTCAGCGTCCCACACACCGTTCCCCTCCTTGCAGCGCACGCGTCCACTTCGCTTCCACGTGGCGGGTCACCATCGCCGATGCATTCGCCCTCATCATACCTTACATAACTAACGGCCCCCATAATTCGTCAACTCGTAAACCGCGTTTACGAGGTCCCTCTTCATGACATTGACACGACACATAACATATCGTGTCTCGCGGCCGTCTGACGGCAGGCGAAGCAAGCGGACCACGGCGATTCCACTGCCCGGTCCAGGGGTGGTCCGGCGGGGACTCGATGGGGCGACGCTCACCTGTCGGTTTCGCTCATCTGTGATGCGCGAGATCTGTATTTTCCGCCGGCCCATGGTGAATGGCCAAGACGGCGGTGAGGTGCCTGACCGGGCTGGGAGGTTCTGCGAACAAACAGCGTGAATTCAGAGAACGATCAAGTCGAGCCGTGGGACGGGACGTCAGTGGAAAGGGGTGGGGAAGGCCAATGGAGGGCAACGCGCTGTGCACCACCATGCATGAGGCAGGTCAGGTTATAACATAATCGAGTATTCCATTCTGAGATGGGATGGCCGTCGGCTTTGCCAACGACGCCGATACTCCATTGACAACTATAGCAGGCCATACTAGCAAATCACTCATGTTGCCAAGAGACACCAGGCCACGCGTGAAGCCTTGCGTCATTCATCGCTCAAAACAGACCCAGGATCTTTACATTTGAACTGTGTTGGTTGAGTAAGTCAGCTATTGAGGGGTGGATTAAACAAGAGGGGAAGGGGCTTCCCAACGACAATAAACGACACGAACCGCCGCTGTTAGCGTCTCGCGTTTGTGCTGAAGACACGTCGCGAGGCCAGCTTCGTTGATTGCAGCAATCAAATAACCAAATTAAAATAATAGCAACACACTCCAAATCCATTTCATTCGCATTAGCTCGCTTCAGAAAGACGGGCCGACACAAGGGCAGCCAGCTGTCGGCTGCAGCGTGCCGTTGACCTGGCCGTCTGGTTTGCAGAAGTCTCACGGCGACCCGCCCGACGCCTCGCACATCCGGCCCGGACCGGCCGGCTGGCTGCTGACACATTCGCACGTGTGGTTCGAAGCCGGCCGGCCGTGGGACGGTCTGGGCGGCCTCCTGTCGGCGGCGCCGCTTGTACTCACTCAGCCCGTGCAGCGTGTCAACCAAAAGAGCGGGTTGACTTGAAGGTGGTATTTGGGGGCAACCTCCCAGGATGCGAGGTGGCTATTGTGTTGGGACAAGCGTGTTGGAAACCCATGTTAATGAAGCTCATTTGTCACTATGCGCACAGTCAACAATAAGACAAAAAAGCGATGTGGCAGGCTCGTCAAGGCTGGGCACAAAACCAATTCATCAATACCTTAAGTGGCATCGACCGACTGGGAGGCGACACGGAACATTGTGGCAAATGAAGACAAACTGGCACGTCAAATATCACGCGTGCGTAGGTGCGTGTGGGTGCAAAGCACGTGAGTACTTTTCGATTGTACGTAAAATGTGACTATGGTTGTAGTCCGACGTAGACATGCGTGATCGCAAGCAGTTCCAACTGCCTCATTGACGAAACTGAAATTGCAGCTGTTTAAGCCAGAGCCCATTTTAACGGCGGTGCGAGAATGTGAAACGCACCTTTATGAAACTTTGGGCCTCGCCAGGAAACGGCATGTCTACAGCGCACCACACTAAGTTTGTGCGGGCTTGTAGCCTAAGATTATATTTCCAGCCGGTCTGATATGGAATTAACAGTTCTTTATATCACTCCCACCAATCCAATTTACGTTTACAAGCTGATACGTCAGACGTCATGAAATCCGTGGTCTTGAGCTAATCCGTTCATAGAAGTACCATAGAGCCCACACAGTTCATGGAGATCAGAGGTCCGCACAGAAAATAAAGTGTTTTCCTTGACATTTGCGGTAGACGGAAAAGCTCCTCCAAGCTCTGGTTCAGATGAAAAATTCAATCTTCATCCTATCTATCACGCCATTTCGAGCTTTTTCGTTTCTCAGGGCCAGTATCGCGTTGACCATTCTCCTACTCACTTCTCTGAACATTGCGATGCACAAGATGCTTCATAACGTGCTGCTCCTCTTTGAACCGATAATTAATCTCTATGAAAACGATGGATAATATGCCCCGCTGAAAACGATGGACTTCTGGTCGATATGAGCGGGTGCTTCCCCACTCGAATGACTTGAGAGCTAGCGATACAGTGGTGCTGTAAAGACTTGATAAAATGCTTAATCATAATTGGTGAAATTAGAAACCTTGGTCCGATAGTGCCTTTGTTGTGGTTTGGGAATCACATTGTCATTGTCCCCCCGACCTGAGAGTACTTTGAAGTCATTAAAATACTAATGACTTTTAAGAGGGCCAAGCCGTTTGCGAGGCTAATCCTTACAATAAACAAGGTCATAACAACTTCGAACAACTGTGTCCTGTGACATTTCAGTCATGGATGCTTATATAATCGTGTCACGGCGTTCACACGCAAGCACGCGCACACGCACACACGTACGCAAACGCGCACAAACGCACGAACACACGCAGACGCGCATATATATATATATATATATATATATATATATATATATATATATATGTTTGTATGTATGTATGTATGTATGTATGTATGTATGTATGTATGTATGTATGTATGTATGCATGTATGCATGTATGTATGCATGTATGTATGTATGTATGTATGTATGTATGTATGTATGTATGTATGTATGTATGTATGTATGTATGCATGTATGTATGTATTATCTTTTTCAGTGAAGTAGGAAGCTCTGCATTCATACTGGGGCGAAGCTGGACTTTGGCTCATTCATTTCCACGCGAGGCCGTCAGCGTTCATGCCACTTCTTTCCAGAGTTGGGGAAGGGCAGCTGCCTCTGTGTCTCACAATCCGGTTCATTTGAGCCCATCTACATCCAAACGAGGTTCACGTTTTAGCAGCACGGAAGCAACACCGATCTTCACCATATTTGTCACACAGACGTTTGAGAACAGGAATACATGGCGTGTGAGTCTACTGACCCGCAAGGCCATATGCTGCACCCAGGTACACGCACGGGGAGGGTTCAACTGGTGACATGTGATCAGAATTGCCTCTGCGCTAGGTGTCCTCCTGAAGGTAAGAAAATGATGCCCAAAACGGGCGGTGGTCGCAAACAGTTGCGCTCGTTACAGCCAAAAGGTTGAAATAAGGTTCAGGTTATGGAACACGTTGGGCACATGAGTGACGAGAGCACAGGCGAGCACATATAAATGAACAAATGAGGACAAGCAGTTTATAACATGATGTCGTCCCATAGCACCTGCGTGTGTCACATTAGATGCACTGTTTTGGCCAATACGCATAATAGCACTGCCTGACACCCACGCTCCTGCGACGTATGCCATCCAGTCACCGAGCATTGGAGCGAGCGGAAGACGGAGGAGCCCGAGCGGGGTATGAAGCCGTCCACGCTCACAGTTCAAGCGGGCAGTGGCGCGGGCCTCAGGTCAACGGCATGTGACATGCAGCTATGAAAAGGAACCGTGCCAAGCACACACCCTTTCAGACGGTGATTTCAATGGTAATGATGATTGCCCCGACTGACTTGCATGTCTGTTACCCATGGAGAAGACCACTGTGCCGTCTATGCCAGCTGTATCGGGCAGCTGGACCAGGGGCGCCAGGGGTCTGTTGTCTGGCTTTTTGTCAGTGCCGTGAATGACAAAACAACTGTGCGAAGGCTTGGTGTTAGCATAAGTCCTACAAGAGGTGCGCATGCGATAGTGGCACGTTCACTGTGGCAGTGTTTTAGTTCAGCGCGTCGCTGCCGAAGATGGAACGCAGAAGTCGACATATGTTACGCATTCAAAATATATGCGTTGATACGCGTTTTTTTATTAGGACTGCATGCTGGCCGCGAGAAAACTAACATTAAAACTTAATGGCGTACCTAATCCTTCAAAGACTTCATCCACCCCTCAATCCTTTACCTAGTCATCGACTCGTTTGCGTGCCCACCAAAGCGCACTGAGGACATATCAGCCTACGATAATGCTCAGCAGCCAACAATGTTCGTTAAACTGAGCTCTATTTCCAACACGAACTGCGGTTAAAAGAGGAACAAATCCACCATGCGGGCTACTAAGCTGTCTGCGACAGGGGTTTGGCGACATGCAAGCGTTTAAAAACGAGAAAAAAACTGACAGCCTTGAACGCGCAGAACGGGTGGCAAAATCTTTCGAGGCCAGATTGGTTTTCCGATAGGCTGCATCTATTTTGGGGTGACTGTTACGCTGGAATGGAGTTGTATTCTGCAGAAACGGGCTGGCTTGGTGTGCGAAGGACACAGACTGGCATGGCGGGTAAATGAGCGAGACCCGGGAATAGTATTTCAGCTTGGAGCATTGAATTCTGGCGAAGACATAGCTTTGAATGCGCTACACATATCCTAACAATGGCCCTACGACAAACGCTTCCGAACGTTCTCCCCAGAACGATAAAAACGGATCAAAAAACAGATTTTCAGCCCCAAATAAACGTAAAACAACACTTTAATTCTTGTGCCTTCCGCTAGGGCTGACCTTGCCGTGACTTTATGTTTTCTTCTTCTTCTTTTTTTTGTATCATGCCACAACAACAATCCACGTGAAATACTGCTGCATCGCCGGTTCGAATATGCCGTAACGGCTTCTCATCGTGCCCATTTTGACGCTGGAGCTTCCAAGAAATGTTTCAACAAAAGCAGAAAATGACTGGCAAAACGATCCCATCTGAACCTGAAGTAGATGCCACAGCATTCAACGCATGCATCCAAAAAAGATTCCATTGGGCACAGTACTTTCAACGAATTACGAAATGTGTCTATGAACCCTGCTATAGTTTTGCGCGAGGACTCTATACACATTAGTTGTTGGAAACGTATATATGAATCACAACATGAAAGCGCTGAACGTTATTTCCCCTGTGCAAGCACCGTAAATGCGCGAAAAGAGCCTACAACTACTGAGACCATGACAAGCCTATTCTGTTAGAACGTTAGCATTAACACCAGACTACAGAGAAAAACAGCATAAAAACTACCGCTACACATTAGTACATTTAGTTATAGATTACAGCTGGTGCGAAAATATGGACGTAACAATATAGCATCGCTGAAAAGCACCGGTGGAGACACATGCACTTACCGTTGGGAAAAAAGCACAATATCTAATCTGAAAAAGGAAGGTCAGCGCTGAAAATTCCAGCACAGGCTGAATTCAAGACAAGCATCTAGCCAGACAATGTGGTGCCCTGGAGCCTTAGCTAATTCTGTCGACGGATTGGACAATTTTCAATAAAACAACGTTCACTGGTAGGCTAGTTGCAGATTGCCGACTCCAAGC